AGCAATGAATAGTTTAGCCATATGCTATAAAAATGGAGAAGGAACAGAAAAGAATTTAGAAAAAGCATTTTATTGGTTTCAAAAAGCAGCAGAAAATGGTGATGAAAATGCAATGAATAATTTAGCTATATGCTACAAAAATGGAAAAGGAACAGGCAAGAATTTAGAAAAATCTTTTTATTGGCATCAGAAAGCAGTAGAAAGTAACAAAATGAACCTTAAAAATGGTGTTGAATTATGTAATAAATGCAAGCAACCATATACTGATTACCAGTGGTGCCAACAATGTAATACTAAACAATTTCAACAAGATTTTTCAAAGTGGACTAGTGAAAATGAATTTATTGATAAATTTGTTCAAGAAGCACAAATAAATGCTAAAAACAGCTATGAAATTTTAGAGTGGATACCTTATAATAAATTTTCAAATGTCAATTATTTTGATAAAGGAGGATTTAGTGAAATTCATAAAGCTATCTGGCCAGATGGACCTATTTATAGTTGGAATTTTGACAAGCAACAATGGAATAGGCAAACAGATTATGAGGTCATTCTTAAATCACTTAATAATTCATCAAGTTTAAATACTAAATTTTTAGATGAGGTATATAGTAATTTTTTTTTTTTGCAAAAATTTAACAATTTTTTTTTATCATTATATGTATAGTGGAAATATCATTATAATTGTCAGAAAAAATCATTTTCAAAATTTATTCAATTCTTTGGAATTACCCAAGATCCAAATAATTTAAATTATATAATAGTAATGAGTTATGCAAAAAAAGGAAGTTTGAGAAAATGTTTACCTGATATAATTAAGTTCAAATGGCAAGACAAGTTAAAATTACTGAAAAATATTATATTAGGACTTAAAGTAATTCATGAATCAAATTTAACTCATGGTGATTTTCATGATGGTAATATTTTAATCTCAAATAATTGCAATGAATCGTTTATTATTGATTTAGGATTATCTAAACCTATAAGCGATTTACAAGATTCTGATAATAAAGCTAATGAAATTTATGGAGTTTTACCTTATATGGCGCCTGAAATATTAAGAAAACAACCCTATACTCCAGCAAGTGATATTTATAGTTGTTCAATGATAATGTGGGAATTTACATCGGGTATTCCTCCATTTAATCATGAAGCACATGACCATCACCTTAGCTTGAGTATTTGTAGAGGGGAACGTCCTGAAATTATAAAAAATACTCCAAAATGTTATATAGATTTAATGAAAAAATGTTGGGATTCAAATCCTTCTAATAGACCAACCATAACAACGCTTGAATACGTTATATCTGTATGGATTAAATGCATTAATAAATATTATAAAATTAATAGGGATGGAAATTATCAATATGAAGTACCTGACATTGATAAACAATTAAAAAATGATATGTTGGAATTTGTAGAAGCGAACAAAGCTTTAGTGCAGGAACAAACAAATGCTTATATTGCACAAAATCATTCACAAGCATATTATACAAGTCGCAAACTTACTGAAATTTTAGTTCAAGAAGATTCTGAATGTCTGGAATGTATAATTAAAAATTAATAACTCTGTTAATTTGTTGAATTATTTATCAGTTATAATATAGAAAACATTTTTATTACTTTTATTATGTACTTTTACAGTTTTTGCAATAAAGTAAAAGGAATTAAATATTATTAAATACAAATATGATGTCAATTATTGAAATTATATTCAAATCTATATTTCAATTAGTTGTTATTATCTTAGAGTAATATTATAACCATTATTTCTTATAATTTTAATAGCAACTGGATACCTGCATAAATTAATACTTGTGTTTTCTGAAAAACTAGATCCCTATAAAAACGAAATGTGTTAAATTTATTTTAAATTCGTGCTCATGTGTAATAAATGTCTAAAAAAGCACCATTTTGTTTAATTTTTGTTTTTTTGTAATAAGACATAAATCGGATAAAATGGTGCTTTTTTAGACATTTATTACACATGAGCACAAATATAAAACAAATTCAACACATTTCGTTTTTATAGGGTAGATTATTCCTTATAATTGAGATTAAATAATTATTATAGATCAAAGATTTTTATATGACTTTTCCCAGTTCCAAAGGCTTTACAAATTTGTTGAGTTTCATCGAAATTTTTTCTCTTTTTATTAAATTCATTACATTTTATATTGTAAAGATTGGTTTAGGAGTGTTTTGTTTTCGACTAATTAGCATTGTGTTATTTGATTCATTAAACAAAATCAGTTTACTCTTGACAATCATTTGGGAAAAAATGGGATTTCTCAAAAACCGTCTTTATAACTTGTGTTTTTTTAATTAGAATCATGAAATTTACATGGTAGATATTTTTAATAAAGTTATTGTGATAATTTGTACTTTACTTTTTCTGAATGGTTATATGAAGTCTTAAAATCACAAGATTGGTCCGAGCCCCAGCCTGGTCCATATATATAAAAAAAAAGAGAAATAATATTAAATGAATGAGTATGAATTACTTTAAAAAACTATAATAACAAATATGACAATATAATGGAAGTATTATGATTTATAAATAATGTATTTTAATCAAATGAAACAAAAAACTTCCTCTTCGTCATCATATTATTATGGTATGATTGCAGAAATACGAAATTTACTGCCGACTATTTTACGTAATTTTCCACAAGGAACTCAAATTCCATAGGAAATTTCTATAGTTGACAAATAATCAGGTTGCAAAATTTCAAAATTCAAAGTACTTCAAAAATAAAATTCAGTACTGTAGAACATTCGCATCGCCGGGGACTTGATTTCAAGCATAATATTTATTATTAATTATTATTATTATATTTATTTTTAGGAGGAAGAAAAATTCCCACCAATTTTCCTAAATATTCTAAGTTGGAGCATAGGCGCTTACTTTTAGTAAGCTTGCTATTTGTTGCAGTCCTGCGATAGGACCGATTGGTTGTGGAACGGCATAGTGCTATGCGAAATATTTACAGGTGGAGCATTGTGCAGCATTATGCCAAAGGAAACGGTCTTATAAAACCCTTATTGCTGACTCTTATTCGACGACTCCGTTTACCTTTCCGGAGGGGAAGTCCTCGGGAGAATATCCAAAGGCACTTCTTAGGAAGATCCTTTGTGGTAGGGCCGTAGTACATATAATAATGATAAGTAACTCTGAAATTAACAAATAAATCAATTTAATTTTTTTTTTGTAATTTACATTAAAATTTTTTATTCAAAAAATACAATCATACGATAGTAGCAAATGAGTGATTGGAATATAATAGATGTAGTCTTTAGTCATAATACTGCAGTTTTTTCAATTAATGATTATATCAGTAGTAGGAGGAGTATATTCTCTACTACTTGTAGTATTGCTACTTACTAGCTTAGGATACATAATTAGCGGGAGGAGTTAAGATATAATTCTATTTTGTACTGTACATCATATAACTATATTTTTTTTTTATTTTAATATATTTTTAATTACAGTGTTTAGTAAATAAATGGATTACAAATTAATGTACTTGTGCTTTTAAATCTCTGAAATTCTAACTAAAAATAATATCGATATTTAAAGATTTGATAAATGACAAAAATTTTAGGATAAAAATTGAGAGACAATCGTTTTTACTCTTTCGTTTTTATTTATATTGTAATTTTTTAAAATAAAATTTATTGAAAATATTTCAGATAAATTGTAAATATTTATTTTTTATTAATTCATTTATACAGTACTGTATAATAATATTCGCTTATTAGTGAACTTCTTTATTTTATATAATTATACTTCTGCCGTGCCGTGTGGGAATTATTTTTGGAAATAAATACTGCTTCTTGCGCGCCCTCTGGTAACGTTATTCCATAAGTTTTATAAAATTCTTTAAAACTTGATTTATCAAACTTAGAAAAAAATATTTCATCACTTTTAATGGTTCACAAATGTTGGAACCTTAATCTGAAAAAAAAATAGCGTCTTGATTGATTATTATTGGATAGGGGTATCGACCTTCGACCGCCCATCAAATAACTATTTATTATAATAAAATTCTTGAAAATTTTGCCTTTACCGAATTAACATAGTATATTATTCAAATATTATAAAAATGATATAAAAATTTTATAAAACCGGTATCCCTCATCATTATTAAAATTCCGTAAAAAAATGTTTATTGACACGGTACTATATGGTGCAAAATATTCCAAATTTCCTTCTGCCGATTATGTTTCCTGTGGTAATAATTAGCAAAATAACAAGTAGTAAAGAAGATAAACTTCCCGTCTCTAAATGATTAGTACCAGAATGCGAACTCTGCGAATTCTGCGAACTCTGCGAATTTTCTGTAACCGTGGTGATAATAGTTTTTGGAGGTGATAATATGGTTGTTGTAATACTAACAGTAGTAGAAACAGTAGTAGAAACAGTAGTAGTAGAATTGTAATTGTATATTTGAGGAGGAGAATTTATGATATCAATATCATTATTACATATTTCTACAATATAGTTAAAGTTTTTGTATCCAGAATCATCTTTAATTTGACATATTCCTGAGGCCATAGAATCCGAACAGACCATAGAACTGGGATTTTGAAGTCCTTTGGGTGCTTTGGATGGAAGTTCTCCTCCCGGCGGTGGTGGCGCTGCCGGTGCTGGAGGTGGCGCTCCCGGAAGGGGACCTGTTTTTTCGTCGGTATAACCGTTAACTGACCTAATTGCAGTATATCGAGCAAAGATCCAATATATTACATTCCAACCGCCTAGTTGGTCCTCATCGTATGGTATGTCAGTTTCTCCCTTGAGACAATAAACACCATCTTGATATTGACAAACCGTTTTGGCTAGAGTATCATTTCGCTCACAAGCACCCAGTTTATTAATGAAAAAACAGCGAGTCAATTTATTAGTAGAGGAACATATGGGGGAACTAGCCAAACAGGGTAAATTATCCTCACAACATAATAATTCATCAGCTGGTTGTAGACCTCCTAATACTAATTTACATACACTACCACTCGTACTTTGTCTTTTTACAAGTAGTTTATTAATATATGATACCATAATATAATGTTTAATTATTTATAATAAATAAATATTAATAATTGATAAGAAGTAATGAGAAATCTCATTTATTGAATGTGCGAATATATCTTTTTTTCGAATTTTTTATAGTATAAGTTGTTACATAAAAATTGATTATTTCATAAGTTTTTATGCAAGACAATGCCATCAATGCAAATGAAAAGTTCTATTTATAAGAAATCTTTTTATTTATTTTTTAAAGAAAAAGGAAAATACTTATTATTGTAAAAAAAAAATTTTTTAAGCTAAAATTGGAAATTAAATGAGAATTCTTTTTGGTAATCATTTGTTCGTTTTCTTTTTTCTTATGATTTTTATGATGATCAGCATAACCCCTAATAGGAAGCGATTCATTCATTCAATGCAAACATAAAAATTTCCAAATTCTTTTATTAAGCACAAAAAAGAGCCAATCACCATAAGCTTGATGCTAACCAAAATCATAATAGTGCAAACTATATTTACGCCACACGAGAACTTTTTTTTTTGTAAAAAAATTTTTTGATATTTCCGGTATATCCCCTTTTCTGTAAAAACCTGAATATGCACTAAAGAGATGAGATAGTGGAATTATTTATTAATAATCATTTAATACGTTTACACTTTACAATGGGGTGCGCTGTCAATCAATCAAATCAAAACTATATATGGTATATATGAAAATTTACTATTGAAGATTTTTTTTTGTAATTCCAATATAGTATTGATTTAAATAGTATGGTTTATTCCGGCATTTTTTTTCGAAATTTACATTACGTTGCTGATTTTTTATTTGTAATTAGCAAATATTTGAATGGCTTTTCTTTTGAGCTTGAATTTCACGTGCTCTTTTCAAGTGGCGGGCTCCGTGGCATTTCCCATTAAAATATTCGAAAGCTTAAAATTAAATAACTCACGTTCTATTAGTGTTCTATTAACATTAAACAATGCCAAATACATGAAAGAATTAAGAATACATGATGACTTAGAGTAACATGTAATACCTCGTTTTTTTGAAAGTTCCGAATTTTTTTAGTCAGAATGTTTATTTTTTGTTTTCGAAATATTAATAGTATTAGTAATGATTTTTTTTTTCGAAAAAACAGGGTATTTCATGGAAGAGTCAGTTATTTTGAATATTTTTGCGAAATTTGAAATGATAAGATTCAGAGTTATTTAAAAAATAAAAATATAACAGTTTAATAAGAAATTTATTATAAGGCCAGTTAAACTATTCATATGATACCATATATAGTTTTGATTTGATTGATTGACAGCGCACCCCAACTTTACAACCAAGATTATCTGTATTGTACATTTTTAGTGCTTGTGTAAAATAAACTTGTTATTATATTAGATTTTTAGTCGTGTGATGATATAAGATTTCTATGAAAGCATTTGTATCTTTAATTAATTTTTCGAGGTTATTCGTTCGTTTCTGTTAACGAATACATTTTTTTTCAAATTCAATAAATTTCGGCTGTTTTGTAAAATGTTGAATGAGAGAAATCGACCTCAGGAAGGGGTCATATTTTGCGAAATCCCTATTCATATAAATTGTTGAGATCCACAAATTTCAAAGAAATCTGTTTTTCTAACTAGGGTAATTTGGTATTGTTAGTGAGTTATAATATAATTATTGCATTATTCAGTAATTATTTATATATATTTTAAGTAATATTATAGGGTTTATATTAAAAAGTTGATTTGTATTTTGTATTTTTATCAAATAATAAATTTTATGGTTTATTTTGAGTTTATTAGTTTTATTAAAGAAATATTATATTTAATGATCAAAATGAATTGATCCTGTAACATGTTAAGTGGTAATAATATAAAGATAAATATAAATATAATAGTTTGTATTAATTTTAGTAAAATATTAGATATGATGATAATGTTAAGTATAGTGATTTAAAAAAATTAGATTGGATGCTATTATGATAAATACATTGTATTGAACTTCTCCTGTAATCTATTTAATTCTGACAACATTGCATCATCTACTTTTATTGCATTTGGATCAAAAGATTGGATTTCTAGATTTTCCCAAGATGTGGCACGACTTATTGCTACATAAGATTGCCCATGAGCAAACATTTGTTCATCCAATGATACAGTTACATGGGGTAATGTAAGGCCTTGTGTCTTGTGTACAGTTAGAGCAAATGCATTTTGAAGTGGAAATTGTGTTCGTTGTGCTGAAGCTCCATGTAAGTTAAAATAAGTTGTAATTTTTTCTACTATAACTTGATTTATCCCATTATTTATTGGAAATGCCACTTCTACTTGATTTTCATTTATTAATTTAGTTACCACACCAATTGATCCATTACAAAGTTGTTCATTAAATAATTTGTTAGTTAGAAACATTACTCTTGCTCCTTCTCTTATTATTAATTCAGATGGTAAATTAGTATAATGTCTAAATTGTTTATCATATTCTTTTGGTATACATTCTTTTTCATTAACATAATCAATAGCTGTAGAAATTAAAAATCCAGAGGAGATATCTTTAAAAATAGGAAGATAACCACAGATTAAATTATTAATTGAATCTGCACTATGACGAAATCCAAAAATATAGGTAGTATCAGTTGACATTTCATTGTTACTTTGATATGATTGCACTTTTTCATCAATTAATCTTCTTGTTTCTGAACTTATATTTCCTATTCGCATTTCTTCTAATATATTATAAAATGATCTATCTTGTTGGCGATGAGAAGTTGTAAGAAAAAGTGGGAAAAATTCTTGCCATTCTGGAGCATAAAAAACTTGTTTACCACTTACAGGTGGAAGTTGAGCAATATCTCCAATTAGTAAAGTTGGAATTCCACCAAAAGGTACTGGTGATTTGTTAATTTTTGCAAATAATGAACTAATAAAAGATAAAAGAATTGATGATACCATTGATACTTCTTCAATTATAATAGCTTTAATCTGGCTAAGTTTTTCAAATTGTTGATTATTATAATGAGATAATGTTTCAAAATAGGTTTGTGTATTTCTAATATATAGTGCTGAATGTATAGTTTTTCCATTTATATTTTGTGCAGCAACACCAGTAGGAGCCATCAATAAATATTCAGTTTTTTTATCAGCTAAAAAATTTTTAATTAGATGTATCATAAAAGATTTACCAGTACCTGCTGAACCAGTTAGAAAAAAATAAGGATGTTTAGAATGTAATCTTTCTCCCCAACTATTTGTAAGTATATTCATTATTTTTTATTGATCTTCAGAAAGTAGCATAGATGAGAGATTTAAAGAGCGAATAGGTTGACGTAACAAATTATTTAACTGATTTCCAATAATTTCTTGTAAGTTTACATGCAATGAAGATATCAAATTATTAACTAAATTTTGATAATTATTTGTATATCTTTGAATATTAGATTGCATTGAATTTTGTACAAAATTTAAAGTTAATGAATATTCAGTAGGATATTTAGCTTCAAAATGAGCTTTATAAGTTTGATATAAGCTTTTTAAATCAGTTTCACTTCTAACAGGTAATCTAAGTAGTAATTGTTGATAATAAAATGATTCTGATTGCTGAATTGTTAAATGTTGAAAATGTACAAGAATTTCTTTTTGTCTTTTTCTTACAAAGCTTTTTTTTTTATCTATATAATATATTCCATTTTTTGGCTGACTTTTTTGTATAGTATAATTGCGATGATAAAAAGGATATGTCATACTATCAAATTCATTATCAGATGGACGATCAAAATATTTATCAATGGCATCATCCCAATAGGGAGATAATTGTTCTTCTTGTTGTAATAAATAAAGTGGTTTTATAGATTTAGTTCTTATTTCAGGAGGAATAGAAGGAAGAAATTCAACAGCAATTGATGATCTACATATTGAATATCCAAGTAAAAGAATCATTAATTCCATTGATTCAAGACGTCTTGCTAAAATATGTTTTCGAAATGCATCAGGTTCAGAAATATCAAAATATTCTGATGGTTCAGATTTTGTAACATACTTAGTCATATATTTTGCAAATTGATGTGTTGTTACATATTGAAAATTAATATGACCATTCCATAAAAATAATGTTGGTGCATGATATGGAATAACATATAAATCTTCTTCTTTAGTACGATGATAAATATATCTTAAGGAATTAGGATCTTCATGTGTAGTATCTGAATATGGTTGAGGAAAACCTTTTTTGCAACGTGAACCAGATGGAGCTGTACCTCCACAACGTGAATTACAAGTATGAATTTGATGTTTTTTAACCAATTCATATAATTCTGGTTCAGAATTGGGATCTGGCATATCTGCTCTAATTACATTAGAATCAATTAATTCAGAAATTGATTTAGATAAATAAGCTATACCATGTGTATGAATTGCTCCACGATTTTGAAATTCATCACGTTCAAAATGATGTAACCAGTTACCCCAATCAGTTAAATTTGGATTTTTCCAAAGATATTGATGCATTGATGCTAAACGATGATGATAATGCAAGTAGATATGAAATGGACAATTAGAAGGAAGGGGATCTTTGTTATCAGTTTTTAATAAAATATTTTTTAAATGTGACCAATGATTTTCAGCCATAGTCATAGTATAAAAAATTTGTGGTAAACCAAATCCTTGAACCATAGTATTAATATGATGTTCTTTTTGGCGAAAATAAGAATCTCCTGTTCTAATATAAGAAGGTATAGTTGTTGTATTTTTTTCATTAATTATTGGACGTCCAGTATAAATACTATTGGTAATTAAATCTGCTGTTGTTAATTGATGTGATAGTGAAGTATTATATTGATTTAAAATTCGATTTCTATTTTGGTGATTTCTTAATTTTTTAATTGTTAAATAAATATAATGAGGCCAATACCAAGATAATCTCCATCTGGGATCAGGACAAAGTAGTAAAGATTTTGCATAATTACCTAAACTATCTGTAAATCGCCGATTTGTATTTTCATCATTTATATAAAATCCTTTTCCATATGGAAAAAGGTCAGGAAATAAAAGTGGTTCAATATTTTTATCATAAAAAGATATTGGTAATTTTTTATTATATGGATCAGTTAAAAATCCTGCCATTAATCGATTATAATGGTAATCTTCATTATGAATTTCTGCATCAAGTTCATAGGGAGGTAGTATTACAGCAGA